AACAAGGTGTACTTATCCCCCCTCAGACAGCCCCACTGATCTGCTGCCAGGCCATTGATCATTGATCACAGTCAGAGCTCGCTGCAACTCTTTGATGCTCCTTGACTCATCTTGTTTCACCTTCTCCTCGTAAGCTGAGCAGAGTCCCCTCCCTTCTGTGTTGACACTCCGGCAATTCACAGCGTGTGTGTTACCTGACATAAATAATCAGAAGTTCTTGAAAAAACACAACACGTCCAACCTGTGCTGCTCTTTTCGTGACCTGCTGGTTAGTAGGTTTATATATTTGGGAGTTTGGCCCGAGTCGGAGGGGACACCGCATTCCTTCAAGATTAAACTAACAAGGGGAAAAACCGGGCCTTTTCTCCGGCGTGGGGCAGAACAGGTACGGCCTTGTGTAGGTGCTGCGGCCGCACTCTCACTCACGTCGTTACAGGCCGAAGCCAAACATCCAGGAGGTTCGACACTCCATATTTCCCCCTTATAGAAACACGGAGCATGGAAGCGACCGGCTGTTTCGCGAGAAAGCGAGTTGGGGTGTGTGGGGGGTTCAGGGCAGCTAAACAATGCTGTTCAGGCCTCCTGTGGTTTGCTGCATCAGCTCTGCTGAAAGTCGTCTTCTGACTTAAATAACTCAAATAAAACGTGGATGAAGAGAAGAGAGAGGACTTTGAAACAGAGAGAACAGAGTGAAAAAGGTATATGATTCTGGGATATAATGCTGGTGTTCTGTTTCATTAGGGTGAACTGGTTCCAAGACAGACCAATTTCCAAAGTGTTAGGTAGTTACTTCCTCTCTGAGGGCTTATATAGGATAACGGTAATTCGCCCAGCGTGATGCAACTGAAATGGATGAAGGGCTGCAGGATCTTATTAAGTGTGAAAATAGCGCAGCGCCGCATTAAAAGCCTCACCGGCCAACGCAATGGCATTAAACCCGCTGGTAATTATGGTGCATTCGAAAAAAATCATAGCTTTTGTGTAGTGTAGAAACGCGGCGCTATCCAAAAAAAACACACACCAATTTGGCGTGCAGCTAGAATAAACACGGAGATATCAACGGTTTGCTTTGATTTATGTTGAAAAAAGCAGAGATGTTAGCACTCATGGTGTTTAACAAATAGGATTAATCGCTCCTTTGGGATAATTGTTTTTGAGTCTATAAGCTCAGTCCATTGGCAGGTTGTCTTATCATAACAGTGCAATGAGCCCCTCAGCTACTGAATATGTGGATAAAAGAAAGGACAATACACAGCACCGTGTGAGTATTTACACCCAACTCTCCGTTTGTTGTTGCCGTCTCCATAATACAGGAGCGACTGTAATCTCCGTCTGCAGTGAGACTCCCTTTCTCCCATGTTTCAATAACTCCTCGCTGCTTCCTTTGGAAGCAGGAGAAGCAGATATTGTACATGTCTCTGCAGTTCAGAGTCGCTCTGGACCAGACAACAAAGGGTGGCAGTTGACACTACTGGAAAAAAAAGACAGAAAAGTGCCTCACAATCAGTTTTTTCTCTTGTTTTCTGGGAAACAACTATACGCTCCTTTTCATTGATTGAATATTTATCTTGTTTTAGTCCCATTTCACGGTTAAGAACATCCTCTGTGACCACGCAAACAGCTTTACAAATTACAGGAAAAACGCACAACTTTCTCCTCAACTTTCAGGCCATTCAAATCACAGGTTACAGGAACACGAGTTCCCATGGCGCTCTCATTCAGACCTTAATAAGTGCCTACAGCCTATTCTGGGCCAAAATCAACCCACTGCTCACTGTTGCTTCATATGAGTGAAAATACAGACCAATCAATCTATCTCTGATTAAACACTGATCACATTAACACGCTGCACCTCCCTGATTACCCTCAGGAATTATGTAGACTAATGTGGACGTCCAGTGCTAATAAGTCCTAATAGCTGGCGCGGTGCGTAAAACACACACACACAGCAGCGTTTTCACTCCATCAATATGACCCTGCCGGGACTAAATAACATGTTTGCCTCTGAGGTACAATTAACCAATGCTAAATAGAGTTCCTTTGAGCGTGGAGTTAAGGGAAGAGTCTTCTCCGCACAGTAGCAGCCAGTGAAGCGCTCGGATTTTTCCCCTTGGCTTTTTCAAATTACCTATTGATGAGTGGGCTTCAAGTCTCTCCACGGCCGGGGGGGTTGGGGAAGGATGTCTGGATGACTTTTAAGATGTCTCCAAGAAGCAGGCCTGTGGTTACATCTAAGGCAACACTTATGCAACAGAAGCTGCCTTTCTCAGATACATATACAGTTTCCCTGCAAATTATCTGAGATTTTCTTTTGGGGAAAGTTTTCCGCCCGGAGTCTTCAGATATTTACCCGCTTTTCTTTTGATCGTGTTGATTTGGGTCCGTCTGTGTAAGCACTTTTTTTTTTTTCTTCTCTACTGTGACTGCACAATTTTACCGAACGATAATTGCTCCCATGACTTAATTGTCTATATGTAATTAAGTTTGTAATAGAGAAAATGGGCACTTAAATGTTCCCCAGAGAGGCACGGTGGTTGAGTGGGTGCCACACATGTTGAAGATTATTCTGCCCTCCTCATCTCATCTGCCAGTCTGAGGAGTGATAAAAAAAAAATGTATTTGAGGAAATTAAATGAAAAAAAAAGCTTGATGTAAAGGCCAAGGCAGATTTTTATGAGCCCCCTTTTCTCAATTTGGAATATTTGTTTGCTCCCTCAAGTCGGCTCAATTCATCACTGGAATGTACGCTCTGTCCAAAATTAAAAATGTCCTCGAACACAAACCTACGGACGGGATGGAGCAATGTGGCTTACTAACTAACAAAACATATTTTGTAACTTTTGCTCTCATAAAACTCACTGACGCCGGACAGAACGACCCGGGAGAAACATGGGAGCAAAACTTTAAGAGAATCAAACAAAAGCAGAACTTGAGTTATTTCATGTGTCTGTCCACCAAATGGATTCAAGTTGTGAGGAATAAACAATTAACCCTCATGCTTAAGATGAACAGAAATAAATAAAAGTCTTATAATCTAAATTCTATAGGACATTTTCTATCAAATTTCCCCATATTTCAGTTTAATGAATACTCAAAATCAACTTCCTTCAAACTCAGAGACGTTTTTTTGTCTAAACCAAAACCAAAATGTTTACAGCGCCAATCCTAATTTTTACCAGCTCTGATACACTACCGTACACTACATTTATTTATTTTAAATCACAAATACAACAGAAAGCGCTGGTGGTCTTGCAAAATCACACTACTCTGTCAAGGGGGCTTTTTGTGGTTGCACTGACAGATTTACTGCCCAGATGTTCATAAACAGGGGCAATCAATCAATGAGCTGCAGCACAACATCAGTTAGCAATGCTTTATACCAGAGAATTGATCAGTTGATCGCCTTTCCTCCGAGTCCCTCCACCTGAACATCTGCACACATCTGCTCCTCTCTCCCTCCGCGTGCAGCATGCTTTCAATTTCCTGCAGCGCCGCTCCTCTCTCCTCTCCTCTCCGGCCCCAGAGACACACCGAGGGGTCAGGGGTTAACATGGTAATAGGTGGTGGTGATTGGTAGAAGACGCTCACTCTCTCCCGGCTTTCAGAGCGCATTAGGAGCCACCCTGCTTCTGTGCGGAGCCGGAGCCCAGAACAGCTGTGCCTGACCACGGAGCGACTTCTTAAAAACATCTTTTAAACATTTGATTTGGACAGAGGAGCGGAGGCTATGGACCGAAGCGGAGAAAAGGGGGGGGAGGGGGGGGCGGGGTATATTAAACTGTCTATTCCTTGTGTCGCACGGGGATGGAAATGTTTGTTTAAATTTTGAAAATTCATCTGGTAAACCTAAAACATCATTTATTTTGCTGATTAAATTAGATTGTGTAGAGAATCTGTCACAATAGAATACAGCAAACCCAAAACAGAGGCCGCAAACTGCACAATGCGAGTTGGCCTTCACAGGTAATTGAAAATCATAAAGTTGACACTGTTCACGGGTCTTGAATGTTTGTGGTCTTACTTCCTATGGATCCACTTTGGGATCCACGCAGGATCTGGTGTTTATGAATGGACAAACAAAACACGGTTGAAAATGAAGAACAATTGTTGTATTTCTGGTGCAAGTCTTTGAAGAGAAGAAGGTACGAATCGAGAGTTTATCAACCCCAAAAAAATACATTTGATCTTTTTAGTAATTTGTGGAGATGCAACAATTCAGAGTTAATTGATTGTTTTAAGTTAGAACGAATTATTCCAGCACTTAAATTACAAATTCATATCATGGATGTCGACACGGAGTCACTTTTTGTCCAAAGCGGATTTACGTCTGTCGATTAAGTGCTCCCTGGAGGCTGCAGGAATCTACACTGATTAATTAATGACAGCAGCACCACTGAACAATTTCAGGAAGCGATTACAGACCTTTCTTGGCAGAATTAATCAATACTTCTTCCCCACGCACAACAGAGACACCCGACACACACAACCCAGTAATCCCCACATCTTGTTTCAATGCTCAACTGTAAACTGTCTTGTGCGGCGTCTGTTTACGTTTGTCAAAAATATCACCCGTGCTTTTGTTTTTTGGTTCCGCAATGGCATCGCTTTGTAAATCTAAGGGTACGTTGCACAAACATGTCATCTTCCTCCTCCAGAAATATTTATAAACATCACGTAGAGTAAATACTGGAATCTGTGAATGCAGAGAGCTTTTTTTTTTTTTTGTATTTGTGCACCACAAAAAGCCTTCATCATAGTCGGGTCTTTCTTCCACCACAAAAGCCTGGACCTTGATAGCAGGGTCCTCGATGACCTCAGCTGATCCCCCTCCGCTCATCTGGACCCAAATCCCTCAATCAGATCCAAGACCGTTCACCCCTTTACCCAAAGCCCTTAATTCCTCGATCCAGACCTCAACACCTGACCCCAAGTCCTCCCCGTGACCCGATCTCCTCTAACCCAACTCCACACTCAACAGCGACAAGCGAAGTGGTACTCACCCCAGAAGAAGTTTTGTTGACATGGTGTCACTGTGCTGAAGAGGCTGTTAGATGCCATAGCTGCCTCTGGTTGCAGCAATCCCCACTTTCGTTCCTCTGCGGTTTCCGTGACCCTTGACACGTCCTAAACCAAGAGCACGCAGCGTGTCATGAAGAAAAAAAAATGGAAAAGCTATCCAAAAGACATGCTTTTACGAATCAACTATTTGGATGACCACAAGTAACAACCAGGTCTGGTTTTATAGAGCAAAAAAAAAGAAAAAAGAAAACTTGCAGAGGCAAATATCGCCTCTGCGGATAGATCAGATGGTGTCGGACTTGCTTGCTTGGCGAGTGTGGTTGGAAACGTACTTACTCGCTTAGCGCCGTCCTTGTGACTGGTGCTGGCCCGCGACGATTAACCATTTACACTCCGGGTCGCCCTCAAACACCAAGCCCGAGCCGCACGTCTGTGGTTCTGTGGTTGTTTGGGAGGCGAGCAGAGCCCTCACACAACCCAAGAGGCACCAGCTTTAAAACTCGTCTCTTTCCTGCCCTCCATGTGCCGTCACTGGAGAGCCTGGGTCACATGCCCCCTGACGTCATCACGGCAGAGCAGTTGAGTGGGACAGCCTACCGTTGTGGCTTTCTTCCCTCTCCTCTCTCCCCCCTCCCAGGACTTTTTTCTCTCCTCTCTGGCTCCCCTCCTTCTCGCTTAAGCGTGGTTCGGTGGCGTTTTGCAGGCTCTCTGGGGGATCGGGGTCTGACGCTCCCATGAGTCAGGAGGCTTCGGTGGGGGCGGGGGCGGGGGGCAGCTTGTTCAACCGCCCGTGCCTCCTCAGCATATGGGGAACAGGGCTCTCTCTGCTTTGCTGTCCCGTCACTCTTTCATCCCCTCCTTCTCCTCTCTCTCTCTCTCTCTCTCTCTCTCTCTCTCTCTCTCTCTCTCTCTCTCTCTCTCTCTCT